TCTAGTTTATACTTAACTATAACGATGCTGCAAGCAATTAGAAGCTGCATCGGACATCAACACTTTCCCAAAAGCATTATACCATATCGATCGAAAGTAAGATCAATGTTCTTTACGAGTGCGATTTCATTCGTTACGTAAACCCTTATTTTTACTTCTGTTTTTACTTCATTATGTTATTTGATACATAATTTCAGTTTCAGTAATCATTAAATGATTATTGCGGTTCTTGAAATGCAAAATCTTGAGAAATTTAATTTCAAAAACATAAATCCAACTTTAAAAATCGAGTCGTAAGTCGACTGCAAAATCTAAACAAATCCTCTCACTTTAAATATTATTCGAACATAGTCAAATGTTTATAATATTATAAAAATGCATATTCCATTTGAAATAGTCTATAGAATAGTTTTCTATCAGAAACATGTATGTAGCTCTCACAGTTCAACAAAAAATAATTATTGAACTTGAAAGTTCTATTTTCTTTTTAGAAATTCAATTTATCGTACACTGAGGATTATAAAACAAGTTGGACAGTTTCGTCGACAAAATTTTGATAATATGACAAGTGGATTTTGGTTTCAGACACGAACAAAATGAATTGGACTCGTTATAGTCGCCGAGACGTCAGCAGGAGGGGAAGAGGACGCAGGAAATTGAACGATACGCGTTTCGATGGTCGTCGATTACGCTCGGAATCGCTGAGGAACATCTCCTCATTCACGAAATCGTTGTTGGGACTCGCCACCATTTTCTCTAGGGAGAAGTAAATCGACAACGTATTGTTATTCGTGCAGTGTACAATAAATTCCAAGATAATCTGAAGTAATGCGTTTTCCAACGTAAATACGATTTCTCGACTGAAATTATTTTGGTCCTATTAATCAGTGTCTCAGAACCGGCTGCTTCGTTGCCTTTCACTTTATGGTTTTCTCGTTAGTGTTGGAGAAGGTAAGTTATGGTTCTGAGACTGAAGCAGTAGTTGTTCACGGCGATGGTGTTTATGATCGAAACGTTTCCGTACCATCGATCATTCGTACAACAATTTGTTCTTTACACGTGTACACTTTGAACATTTGCAACAAAAATCAAGTTTTAAAATAATTGCAATTAACTTCACAAATTAAATACAATTTTAAAGTGTCAGACAATGGTATAAACATCAATCTTGTTAAGTGCACGGTGATTTTCATCGTACATGCTAAATTGTGGTGATTTCAATTGGTAGTTACAGAAAAGTTCACATGAAAAGAGATTCATGATAACTATTACAGTTTAATTGAATGCCCGTGAGAGTGCTTTAAATAAACGCGAAAACAATGAAAAAAGACTGTATTTGGGACGTGCTAATCAATGAATTCATGTTATGCAAATGCAATTTCCCAGACGTTTCGTTACGCTTCTCGTTACTACAGTTTTTTCCTTGCGTCGTAACGGTATATTCCTTTGCTGTGAATTTTCGTTTAATGCTGTCTTGATTGAGCAGTGATTAGAAATAAATCACGGTTAACTGATCGAATCAATAACACATCGAATATACATTAGTTTTAGTTCATTTTTTCTCCTCCATAGAAATGTTATTAATGTGAGTTCTTTGGAAATGCAAAAATTTGTAGTACATGCTTATTATTTTTGAACGAATCGATTCAGCTAAGGCAGCAAAGTTAATATTAGCGTTGAGTCTTGTGTCTTGGACGGTATACGCAAGGAAGATAAACAAGATAAGGAAGAACCGATAAGTATAACGATGAAAATGGTACGGACAGTTATAAATTAGATATTCTGTATGCTTTTCATTCTGTTTCTATTATTCTTACTCACCATATCTTCCCTTGAGGAATATTATTCCATTTTCCCCGCAGAGCGATCTCGTAGATGTTCACATTCTAATTATGCATCGTTCACATTCTAATTACTTTCACGTTGATGTTTCGTTATAGAATTAGGATCGTTAAAATTCACCGTAGAAGAATTATGGTGTACTTTACAATTAGTTACACTACACCAAGCTCGTTCTACTGCCAATAAATTGTGAATTTTGTGCAAACAGTAGAACATTGTAGAAAACTGAAATGAACGCGTATAATCTTGGTGGGGCACGCAACTTGATTTCCTTTCACTTCATTCAATACATTTCGAAGTTTTTCTATGAATTCTAGGCATACATTAATTCGTACCCAACCGGTTTTTTTCAATCTTATCGGACCCAATATATTATACATTATATCTATTACATTTTCTTAGATAAATATTATAGTTGGAATTTCTCAAACATTTTTCATTTAAAATAAAAAATTAGAAACCTATATTACTGGTAGTTAGCAATAAGAAGTACAATTTACATATTTTTTATATGTAAATGAAACGTTTCTAATTGGATTAAAGATTTCACATCCAGAGAAATCCAAGATGACAATGAAATTAGCTTTTAGTTGCCTTATTTAGCATACATTTCTTGCGTACACAGAATGTTATTAACTTGTTTTTACACTGTATGATGAAAGAACCGATTATAATTTTTTAATAACCATTTACATAGCTATACATGGCTTTTGTATATGTGATTATATTTCCTATTCATTTTTATTTCTAGAATGTGCCGATGTTGGTCTGTAGAAAATATTAGGACACTGTATATACCGCAAGGCAATGGGATTTGAGGGTGAACAGGTAATTGTGATTAAGCGGACCTAAAAGATTTGATAAAAGTGAGGTACATGTATATGGGTTTTGACGAGCACGAGTCAAGGGTCTGATCTAGAAGCGGTCATATCACTGACCTTGACGAAACTGGTTACTACGAAAAGGTTTTCTTTGTTTCACGCGTACGGATCTGACAGTGAAATCTTAAGCCTGCGCGTTCTGAAAAAGGAAGTAACCCAGTAAACATGAAGAAATAAAGAATCGTATGTTACATATGTAGGAAGCGGGCGTTTTTGCGCATATTTACGAATATAGGTGAGCGTCGACGATTAGCATTGGCATCTCCCGTCGACCCACCTTAGTAACAAGACAGTACGCGTATCAACCGACATTCCAACGAACGAATTTGAAGGAAGTATCCAGAATGTTCGGGGATACAGAAATAAAAGGATGCGTCCGCGGAAAGGGAACAGGGTCACGAGAAAACGCGCTGCCAAACACGATCACGAATACGAATACGAATACGGTCCACGATTAGGAATTTTGGTCTTCGGTACATTGTACGAACTACGGTGTATTTCTGCGCGTGCGTGTGATTATCACATTTTGTATCTGTACCTCGCCTACCTATTCTTTAATAAACGGACAGATATAGAAAATTCTGTTCCTACACATATTACAATCGATTCTTTTGCTGTTTAATTTTAAATTAAAATATAAGAGTTATACAACGAACTTTGATTTCCACAAGAAGAGATCTACGCAAAATTAAAATTGGAATAGCTGAAATTGATTAATAACTGAGACACTGTGCAAAAAAATTTCTGCTTGAATGGTACTTTTATGTGGAGTACTCAGTATTTCGGCGCCATCAAACGGAGAGAGAAAAAATTGAACGATATCAATTATTAATATGGGCTTTTTATCGAAACGAAGAAATATGATGGAAAAAAAGAGGAAAAGTAAAATTATTTTTCGCGGATGAAAAGTGATTTATTTTACAGAATGTCATTCGTTTTTGCGAAAGAAACTTTTTATAGAAGCTTCCCATTCGATGTCACTGGCTCATTCAATAGTAAAGAAAAACCTTTTGTACGCTACGAACAAAGACTTATCAACAGCGTACTAAAAGTAACCTTTATGCGCCATTTAATTCGAAAGAAAAGGATTTTTTTTTGTGATAAACCTTGGGATCCAAGGAAATTACAGTGAACATCAGATTTACCGGGAAAAATGTCCTTCTTTGTTATGTGAATACAGTTTTACAACTGCAAACATGTAGCTTATGTTTGTCAACTAATTATATAATTTTAATTTATCAAAACGATCAATTGGAACATATATATTGTACATTTTCATTAAATTTTTCTAATATAAATTCTACAAGTGCGTCTAACTATTTAATTACATTGTTACATTTTTTAAATATATTTATTAGTGATGTCACGAATGCTTCTTTCGTAAGTACAAGAACTAGAAGCTGTACTAAATGCATTAATGACTCTTATCGGTCCAGCTGTTTGCTACTTCATTACATACAGGAACTCTCTACACACTAATTACTACCTTAAACGCTATTTTCCATTGTCAAATTACCTCCATCCACGAATGTTTCAAGCATATATTTTTAGAAATGTTTCAAAGAATAAACCCCAACGAACTTCTTATGAAACTTTCCTAACATTCTAATTAAGTTCAATCACGAGTCGCTTCCGTTGTCCTTTCACATTTTCCGAAGACAAATGACAATATAATCTCTCGAACCATAAATCACTCCAGTCAAATCTCTCAATCTAAAACCCACGATTAAATCTTAACAAGCCCGTTTACTTTAATCGAGCAATACTTGATTATCCTGTTTTCCATATAAATACTCGGACTTCCAAACGAACATCACAAATGAGTTCCAAATTTGTTAAAAAATTACCAAATTTTCAAACAAACATACGATTCGTCATAAGCTATAAGCAGATCGATCTCACAATCATGGAATTACGATCATAGAACGTCAGCAGCCGTACTCATAAATTGCATAATGATAAAACCGATGAAGTATAAACTTGCTCTCCTGCCGGTGAGACAGAACAACTTTCGATTTCAAACGGCGATCCTAATTAGTCTTACATGGAATTACGTTTCCCCGCGTTTAATCGACGGCAGTTACTCGGAAATTGAGCATCGTCTCGCAAGATCCTTGAACCTTTTAGTTTCGAGGGACTTGGGAGCCAGCGAGGCCGCACCAGATCCAGCCAGAGCGGTACAATGCGAAGGGAAACAAGGCGCGGCGCGAGATCGGTCGATCGAACCGCGGCGAGTAGCGGGCGAGTGTCCAACTTTCACTGACAACTCGTTAGGTCCGCCGCTAGCCGTGGTTTCGAATCATTCACAGTCATTCCACTACGTCGGTAGGCCGCGGCAGCGCCGGCGAATTCACCCGACGCTCGAGTCGCGTTCGAGACGCACGTCAGTCCCGCGACGTACGACGCGATCTTCCGACGCGATCGATCTCGCTTCATCATTAAACCTCGTGCAACCGTAATCACCTTTGCCGCTGGCGCTCGCACCGTTTCGCAAACTGAACTTCGGATCGTGAATGTGACAGTGAGTTTCCAAGATCGGTGTCGTTCTTTGGAATATTTCTGGAATCAGTGAAACGTAATTATTGTTACGTACCTGGATCTTTTTAGATAAAGGGAATATTCAGGTTGGTTTGTCTTCGGCGGGCGAGGCGTTGGATTGGAAGTTTCTGTATTTCGATGTTGAAGGTTCTTTTGTGCACGAATTCGTAGCATCGTTCGAAAGTACGAGGAAGCTGCGCATTCGGAGTAGGTCGAAGAAAGTGGAAGCGAAACGGAAAGCGAGAGTACACAGCTGGTAACGTCTTCCCGTCAGAAAGCGGCGAGGTCTGCCCGGTCTGCGACGGGTGCAGCGCACCGTTCGATGCTTCTCACGAGTACGTATTGTTTCGTTTCCACGTAACGCAAACTTGTGCATTCGGAAAATTGGGTTAAGACGTTGCGCACTGGGACTGTTGCGTAACCTGAATATTTCCCCTCCGAGACTTTGCGTAATAGCGATTTGGGCAGAATCGTTTCGGAGAACGAACCGGATAATCAGTCGTGTCGATGGGTTTACCTGGATTTTGATACGGAGAATGGGGGCCAAGTTTGGAATGAAATTGTAATCTGGTTGTTGGAAAGTGAATGTTGGTTGTTTCACCGAACGAGAAATAAATGCAAAATAATTTTCACTCATAGGCCCCTTTGTGGGAAAATCAATATTGAACTTGTTTTTTTTTCTTAAAGGTTTCGAGCAAACGGATTTTGTTTAATATTTTCGACGTGATATTTGATATCGTTGTTGCGTTTCATTAGTTATTACGACGCTGTGTATATGCATAAAAGGTCGTGTTCTCCGAACAGCGTAATACAATAGCATTTTTATTTGGCTTTATTAGAGACTTGATTTTATTGTATACTATACAATAGCTCGCGTTTCCAACAGGAAGTTTAAAATCACGTCGTGGACCGATGGAAATAGAGATACGTTTGTTTAGTATACCTCTGTAGAAATATTAGCTTCATCAAGTTGCGTCAAACAATTTCGGCTTCCTCCAGGCGAGTGAGACGCTCGTCGATCAAAAAATGGAAATTAATATTGAAACTAAAGCACGGAGCGAAATCGATTTATTTAAGATATCGAAGCTCGCTGGAATAGCTACCAGCCTGAAAATGTCCGCATGAAATAGAGTTTCGCGAACTTGACACATAGGTTTCGAAACATAAAAATTCTTCATAAAGAAAATAATAAATATCCATTCGATGCGTTTCGAAACATAAAAATTCTTCATAAAGAAAATAATAAATATCCATTCGATGCATTTCGAAAATCTCGACGTTCTGTAATGTTCAGCAACCTGTGTATCAAAAATAATTATATCAACCCTGCGAAAATTGAATAGATTTAATTGGCCGCTCGATGTGTTAACAAATTACAAACCAGATTACTATTATCAGCCACTTACTTGTTCTAATCGAATACTTTTAAATTGCTCAAGATTTACTTTCAGTTATAATTCAGTTAAACACAACTACTGTTATATAAAGCATCTCTGAGATCGCTCCAAATTTCTAATCACTCCCTATTTCCTTCCTGCACAATTTTTAATCCTCTTACAGCTCTCCATGTATTAATCATAATCTACTATTCAATTACAGAAACACCTAAATAACACGACAAATATCAGCTGTTATCAATATTCCCATAACAGACATGCAACTCTGAGTCTTCCACAGTAGTCAGACATTTTTAGATATTCAAACTCACAGGAATCGCGAGACACGTCAGTGGTTCGTAATGTATTAATAACGACAACATTCGATCGATGACCCATCTGTCCGATCCAATCGAACCGGGACTGTGACGCGCGTCGCGCATAATCGTCGCCTCCGTTAATTACGGGTACCGTGCGTGTAGGTGTAAAGCTGGCCGTTCATCGAGGATTAAAGTTCAAAAGCCAGATCCAGTCTCGGCGTCCCGATCCAGTCCCTGAATCGGCCAGGAGGCCGCAGTGAATCGAGGATCGCCGATCGGAGCAGACGGGAGAGACGCGAGCCGACGTTTACACGAGCCGTTGGCTGTCAAGGACGCCGGCATGGTTATGGACACGAGTACGGTCCGCTTGGTCATATTCCTAGGGATGTTCCTGGTGTTCGCCGGCGACTATAGTTATCTGGTATCGACGATATTCGGCAGGACCGCCGATCAGAACATCACCGAGCCGATCAGAGGACCTATCGGGCCGCCCAAGGAGCTGCCGATCGTCAAAAAGGACTATGGCAAAGAAACCGGTAAGGGACAATCTCGTTGACCTCTTTTAGACCTTGCTTCTGTTCGAATTTTGTAGAAATGATCTTTTAGAAAATCATGTTTACTTGGTTAACAATGAAGGACTTGCATTTGCTGCACCAATGATAACAGGTATTCAAGTAAAATGGTGTGCCAGTTTTGTGATGAAAGTAAGATTAAGGTGAAGATGTATATATGTTGTTTGTTACAATTTTAATATTTTATTAGATGTCGACGTAGTAAGACAGTGTTATAATGCGCGGCAGGTCTAAAAGATAACTGTTGCTGCTCGGAAATTGACGGGTAATGCAATTACGATTTGTTTATTCGATATAAGGAAATGTTATACGCGATTACTCTGTTTTTCTATTTTTAAGCTGGATATAAAAGAATAAAAATAAATAAATTCAGTTTTAGTCTATGAATCGAAAGGCTGGCTAGGTTTTAAGCAGTGAACCGGAGAAGTTTGTCGCAGTTTAATAGTTAGTAGGTTAGGGTTGGCCAAACGAATGCTGATACCGCGGGAAACGTACACGGAAGTGAATCATATGATTTAATGAGTGGAATATTATAGTGACGTGCACCATCAACATGTTTGTGACTGCCTAAAAGCGTTATTGGATACGATTAAATTGGAGCAAAATGTTGAAGAATGAAACTTTGTAATGAGAGATTCAATTAGACTGGGTTTGACACTAATAGTTCAATTTTGGTTGTTTCGTGGAGTATTATAATGGTTGTTCGTTTAAAACTATTTTGTATTATTTTTTTGAAATATAGGAAGATAAATTACTTGAGTAAGTAGGTAGAAATAATTTGCTGTGAATAGTGAATAAATATCGGTTGATTATCAGCGATAAATATTTATCTGAAAAAATTTGAATAATACTGAACTTTGTCTTAGAGAATAGCTTAAACTATTCGATTGACGTTATAGGTCGAAAGCGCGTTATAAAGTATAATCAATGAAAATGCTAGACACAGTTCAGACTTGTAAGAATTACTTGTTACGAGTCAGTACCAAGAAATTGAAATTGAAAATAAATAAAGTCACATTCATAATTATACAGTGTCACAACAGTAATGACATGTTTTGATCATTAACAAAATTGGAACTAATTGTACTATAAAGACATTATATTCACAGTAAAACACAATAATTTGATTTCATAGCTTCAATCAGTGGTGTATGTTTCTTGGTAAGTAACTATAATCATAGTATACTTTCCTGGATATTTAGTAATTTATGATGTAAACAAGAAATTTGTATTCGAGAAAATTCATATATAGTTGATCGTTGATCGTCCACTGGTGGAAGTTTAAACAAAGACATTCGTCGGAATGCTTTCTGAATATCTGAATCGTTTGAATTCTAATACACAGCAGTCCATAATTCGTAATACCAGCTACTATTATTTTATGAATCGAACAACAATTGTACTCTGTTTGTGCATGAATTTATGCGGACACACTAGCGAATGCCATCCAGTTAGCATATTTATATCGTAAACGTTACATAATCATTTGACGAAGCAAGATCAACTGTTTCAACGATGAATCGTCATCGAAAAATTCCACGTTATACCTGACGTATTCGACTTGAAAAAATTCTTGCGTTTGTTCGGTAATATGTACGAACATGTAACATAAACAATTATTCCTGTCGCATATATACAATTAACCTACCATGCGTTCTTTCACAGAGAAAATAGCAAAAGAGAAAAAGCAACAAAACCGACACGAATAATACAAAACTGATTAACGAACGAAGTAACAACGAATCGCAGACGGGAATACAAATAAAATACAATAAATGCAAGAACCAGTTTCACTGACCAATCCAGATAGCTCTAATTCGGAAATATGAATTTCCAAAAATATGAAACTAATTACAAAAAAGGAAAACGAAATATAATTTCAAAAATAATTATTAATAAATACAATTGCTTTCATTAGATTTTTCGTCGAATACTGTCGTCCATCATTCAACCAATTCATACGATCGTTATTAAAGATTTCACTGAATAATTTGAAATAAGTGTAACAATTCAAAGATTGCGTGCATACCTCTGTGAACGGAATCAAGAAAACGCGAATGCAACCTGCAGGGCGGGCGAAGGATTATCCTGATCGATCGTATCGCGATCGGTTCCCGGGGAACAGCCTCGATCGGGCGCCTCGACCTCGGGAAACCAGTTAGTTGAGCTAGAAAATGCATTTCGAAAGCCGCAGACCGGCTTCAGTGTCCAACAGCGTGGCTACCACCTTTTCTCCCGGCAGGCGTCCTCGTCCGCACACGCGATTCAGGGTTTTCCACGCGTGCACGCGAGTCGCATTGATTATTCTCGTTCGCGGATATCACCAGCTATTGAGTTTCACTATCATAGAATAGTGGAATTCAGTCTTTTCATCATCTTCGACTTTTCTCCGATACTTACGCGGACAACAGGTCTACGACTTCGGCTCCGCGTCTTTTTAATCAGCGGCCGAACCTTGTCGTCTACTTCCATGGCGAACAGGTCTGACCAGTTCTGTTATTTTTCTGGTGCGACCTTATGCAGAGTTTATGTATCTCGCGTTATTTTCCTCGCACGAGGAAACGTTTCGTTTATTGAAATTATTCCCATCGTTGTTGGGACGTAAAGATTTCTTAAGAAACAACAGTGTATACAAACATTGAAATTTTCTTTTGTTAGGTTCATATTTTAATATGGCAATAAACAAAACAATACAAGATTTTATTATAACTAATGCCTGCGAAGAATTACTTATACTATAATTATATCGAAACTAGCATTGTAATCGAACAGTATTGAAATCATATTTTATTGTTCCTGTAAATTATTTTGTTTTCAGTTTATTATTGTATACTCTGATTAACATAGAATTATGTAAACGGCAATCAAACGCTATAGCTTATTTTTCGAAACGTGGGGCATCAGGCGTATCGTTCGTTACAATAGAAACCCACTTTCCCCGATATTTGATCGAGTTAAAATGGCACGAAACCCAGGCAACCTAGATTTTCTAAAAGATTGGAAGAAACTGTTATTGGATTGACAAACTGAAAGGGATTTCAAATTGGAACAGATTTCGAATTGAAAGGGACTTACCGACTCATTAGCGGTGCGTCACGATGAACGAGCTGAAAGATTTATGCGCTTCTTCTAATTCCATTGCAGCGGTGTCGCGGCGAGCCCGACTGATGTCAACGATCAAGACCGCCTGCTTGCCGAAGCTGATATGCGAGTTGACTTCGTCCGTTTATCAGGATCAGCTGAGCGAGATGGAGCGGTCTTTGCTGAACTTGATCAGGTAAACCATAAATTCCACTTGATCCAAGTATTAAGCAGTAGTGACAGACCACTTGATCAACGACTTCATTAGTAGCTTGAAAACCCACAAGAAACACGTTTAATGACTTGTAAATATTATTCGCAAGAAATGCTCACATTTCATATTCACCGTGATATTTTCCACGAACGCTCTTCGTCAATTAACTGCGCATACAGATTAGCCAGTCTTTACCCAAACGCAAATATACTGTTTGTTTCAATATTTTAAGTAACCTCGCCTGCGTGTAGCATTAAGTGTATTGAAAAAATATTTAAACGACGTCCGGTGTTTTACAACTTCTCTTTGAATTTCGTGTAAAATATATATCTGCATAATCACATTTCAATCGTCACAAAAAGGACCCTTCAAGTATTCTGTCTCTTTTCGTAACGTATAGCTACGAAGTCTTTCGTCTTACTACTTTAAATTCACCGACTTTCTTGTCCGACTTACAAAAACCAGGCCACGACAAGAAACGACAACTTCGCTAAACCAATCTCAATCTTCGCTGGCGAACCACGGGTAAAAGCAACATTTTACTACTGGTTTCACCGAGCGAACGCGCCCCGTTCCTTCGTATCGAAAAAGGATCTACAGCAGGTGCTTCACTTTTTGCTTCTCCGCGAGCCGGTTTAAAATTTCAAGTGAGACGCTTCTACGGGACAGTCCGCTTTCGACTGCTTGAAAGGAATAGAGCAATGCGACCGATAACAAGGGCGTAGCAATTACGCCGTTCACCGTTTACGGTGCATTCGGCGAAATGATCGAGGCAGACATTCGAAGCCCGCGACGATCGAGCCGTTTCGCGTCTCGATGCGCGGCGCTGGAGTTTTACGACGCGCGCCGGCCCAAAGTGCTCGTAGACCACGCGACTTTCATCGAACCCTGGTCCCGCCACTTTCACTTTCCACTTTCGATTGTCATTGGTAGCAACGCGGCCGGAACCGGTCGGACGCAACTATGCGAGACGTCGGAAAACACGCGAGCATGGGAAAAAACGCTTGCGTCATTGGAGGACGAGAAGTCTATCTGGTGTCGTTCACCGATTTATCCCGTCCATTATGGAACCGACACATCGTCAGGACGTAGGTTTGAATTTCAGAATGCGATCTACATGTTTTACGTTTTTATGCCACGGTGACATTAATTCATTAAACGACAAGTACGTGTGAGTTCTTGTTTGACATTCGTTACGTCTTCCGATGTAACATCATTGCGATATTGGTTGAACTTGAAATATTAATACGTTGACACGGACTTGTTTCTAACCGACTTTGAAACATACTTTTCCTTCGAAATGTTCTTAACAAATCAGATGAAAACGTACTACTTCTAAGAAATACTTCTTCCTAGTTTTCGTTTTAAGAGGTATGATTACTATAGTTGTCATTTGCTTCAACGTGTTGCGTATTATTCTGTTAACGACAGGTGTATTAATATTTATAATTTCAATCCCCTTGCATGTATACTATATATGGTAGTTGAAAAACACTGCATGCATTCTACTCAATTAAAACCCATTTCAAACATTTCTCTCAGCGTTGCCAAAGGAATGCCGTTCATCCGTAAATCGAAACACCGGACGGATCGCTATCCCCAAAAAATCGTGTTGAAATTTCCCGTTGCAAATCGTGTTGCCAATCAATCCCGACAGATGTCAACGATCCGCGCGTCACGCGTTTTCGTCGAGGCCCGCCTCCCCCGTGTACCGAAGGGACGTGAAATCGGTCGAAATATTTTAAAACGGCCGAACGTCTGTATCGGCGAGGGGCGACCGATCGATTTGCATTTCATAAAATCCCGGCGAGCAGTTTCGTTTCAATCAATAACGTCGACGATATTACCGCTGGGCCGTCGAAACGAGAGTCGAAGCGGCGGGATCGTGCGATCGCTCGCCGGGATTTCGCGCAGCGCAAACAAAACCGATTCGATTCGACCGTCCGCATTGTCAAGTTAATATTTGGCCCGTTTAACATAACTTTGCTTTTAATCGGTGAGGAAAACGGCCGCGGCGCGCGGTCGGCGGGTCGCATTATCCAAATAATATGGAGGCACCGGCGACTCCGCGTGCTTCGCTTCCTGTCGTAAACGAAAATTGCGAGATATGGGCTCAATCGGTCGGTCCCGGGCGTCGTCCAATTTCGAGCGCGTGCAGCGCATCGGCGCCGTCGTTTTTCGAACGGTGTCCGGCACGAAATCGACGGGCGAACGTCCACGTTACCGGCCCAACCGCCGACGGAATGGCGGATCGCGGGCCGCTTACGCGCGCCATCCAATTTTCGGCGAAGCCCGCCGCGTACCGCGTCGATCCCGAACGCCGAATCCGGTATAGCGAGCGTTCGCCTCGCTCTCACATCTGTTTAAACCAAATATCGAGCCAGGCTTTCCTGCTATTCGCTTGTTACTATATGACAGCGGTTTCCAATCTGAAGCACCGCGTGGAACGTTTGAAATAAAATTACGCAATATGCAGGGAAGGGATACACTTCTAAGGAAAGATCGTCCGTTACAGTTGATTTAATTAACACGTTGAGTACCGTGATAGTCACTGATAACACCGACGCTTCTGAATTGCTTGGAAAGGATTATAATGTACGGCGCTTGATATGGGATTAAATATGTTTAATAATGTAAGTGGATAATAGTGTGATACAGGGATTATAATACCTTTTCGTGGCAGCTAACGTGTTAATGGTCTATCTGAGAATGGATCTAACTTATTCTTTTTAGTAACGGTTTTCAAATTTAAAATGACAACTGAAACGTCAAATATTTTGTATGTTAGATTTCCGAGAATTATATATGAACATTTGGATATGGCGGAGCTTTCTTCAAGATGAACGTCGTGCCTTTTGGTATCATGACAATGCATGCGTTTCACTTGAGATATCGCAAGAGAAAATTCTTGGAAATCATCTGTCTGGTTCAGCTGGAGGCATTTCGTGTAATACCTTTGGCGCTAGAACTATTGCATCCATCAAAATGACGAATCTTAGTTGTCTTGTTTCACAATTGTTAATATCTGAAAAGTGTGAAATATTCTAAATGATCTTAATTGATATATGAAAAGTGTTAAACGTCCCAAATGATCTTAAAAATAAATAATTTCATTTTATAATATATAATACTATAATAATGGTAGGAAGAAATCTAAATAAACCTATTGTCACAATTTTTACAAGGATTGCATATTAATCGTATTAAATGCTTGACGGCGCTAGTGTCAACAAACTTTTAAGCTTCAAGGTTGTCCTTCACGTAGAAAGTAAAAATGCTGAATGCTTCCATAGATTACATTCTTTTCACCGAACGAAGAGATGCGTGAGCGTTGAAATAGAAAGATCTCGATTTAACTAAACGTAGCACGAAGTTTATTTAAGCAACGAAGTCGCTATATCCGGCCATTAAGAAGTTGATGATGCTTTAGGGAGTGCAGGGCGAGAGCACGACGTGAAAGTTCGTCCGTTCTTATGTAAGCGGCCACTCCGAAAACGGAACGGCTCGATGTGTTGTGTGCGCCCGTAACAATCTGCCACTTTCCTTTTCACGGGTTATTCAATCTTCCAACTTTCTACGACGCCTCGAGCGTCTGCGGACCACGCGTGCTCGGAGACGTCTGCTTCCAGACGCCTTCCAGTCATCCGTGGACCCGAACACCTGAATGTTTCTCGAAAGGACGACTTCGTGTTCGTCGCTTGTGTAAGCGCGAGAAGAAAGAAACGCACTCCGCATTGCATCACATTCGATGTCGCGAATCGAGGAAGATGAGATTGCTCCATGCGAGAAAGGAATTTGTAAACACGCAAACAGGCGTTTGCCATCAATTCACTTGTAGAACATTTGAATAAAGCAAATTGGTTGAGTTAGCTTCTCTCTTCCGTTGTGTGATTTGCGGAAGTGCAAATTTAATTGTATATTAACTTTCGCAGGTTTTGATTTTCAAACTGACTTTATTAACAGACTTTTAATGCTTTTTTTAATAAAGTAAATGCTATCAATTTATTACTTACGAGCGAGTGTAATTATCAGCGACGTAACAATATTTCGTTCCTTTTGAAAATCAAAAGACTTCATCCGTGCCTGCAGTCTTGCACCCCTACTTTCTTTACTTTCCGCTTTCGTTTCCGCATCATTTGAGACGTCAAAGCTTAATTACCCGCTCGAAACGACAGCGTCGCTTTAACGATTAACTCGCAGCCGCAGCCTGACCTCCGCCATTTTCTGTTCGTCTCGCGGCGTTACACAAGGCGCCATAGCTTTCCTCTTCCGGTTGAAAATGTGGATTTCGTACAGCTACATTGCCCGTCTAATTGACAGCAATTAAGTCTCCTTCCCGTCGCGCTTTCCACGTCTTTTCCACCTGTCTAATTAATCAACAAATTAACCAGCCCGCCAAATTAGCTCAGCGTTCCGTCCACATTTTCGTTAAGAAAAAATTACCCATGATAAATGGCGGCTTGTTGTTGCGTTGGAAACGGAACGACGAGATCAACGGATAAATTCGCGTTCACTGCGTTTGATCAATTAATTAACGTTCCGTGCAGAGAGCGTTGTCTGAACGAAACCTGTGCTCTATCAACGTTCGTGCGAGTTTCATCGCTAAAATATTCATTATCGAATACGCCGCTCGACGAACCAAGATAATCCGTAGACAGTTAATAACGATAATGCATCTAGTTGCGAACGGAGATGATTAAACCGATTCTGCCTCTAATATAGAGGTTGTACCAGTCGAATTGAGTAATAATTAATAGTGATTTAATGATGTTGATCCGTCAACAACAGTATTATTCGTTTACACACGACAAATTGATAAAACACGATCAGACAACGGATTCGGCGTGCAGCTTTAAATCTACGACGTATCGTCTCTGTTTGCCACTCGACAGGTTAAGTAATTATAACATGAGCAGGATTAGCTCTAGCGCATTAATGGTATCAACGTTCTCTCTAGATTACGCATACATAAATACATAGAGCAATCAAATTATACGGAGTTGCTTTAAACACATGGGCTTCCATCGAATCGTATGCATGAAAACATTGAAGAACTCTATGTGAACGTTACTTCGATCTTTAAAATCACGTGAAGCTCGTCTCAAAGTTACAAACTTAGCCGTAGATTGAATGATCGGATAAGGTTCACGGGACAAATCAGCTGAAAAATTCACCGCGCTGGTGACCGAGTGAGTATTAACCGGAAAAAAGGGAAGACTAGGAGATGGAAGGAAGCGGCACCGCAAGAGGGATGATGCGGCAGTGGGTAGCAAGAACCGCGAGAGGTTCCTCCGTCACGATTAATGTCCCGGAAGGATTCCAGCTTTATATTTACTTTTATGCCGGCGTCGGGAGCAGGTCCGATTTTTATTGAATCGCTCCCGGTTAAATCGATCAAGATTAAAACGCTAGGAAGCCGTTCAGCGCTTACTCACCGTGTTCCGTGGACATTGAAACGTTCCGAGCTAGAGCTGTCTTTCATAAAACACTCAATACCAATTGAATTACCCTTGAAATACCTGAATAGAGTCAAATCACCGTATAAAAATAAGGATTTGATTTCTAAATAAAATTTACTTTCTTTCAAAATCATCAACAAGAATTAACATTGAAAAAACATCAATTGTAATTATACTGAGATTGTAATTATTATTATAATTGTAATTGTGTCAATTGCTTATGCAAGACAATTGAAGTCAGTATATTTTCCATGGGGCCATTTTTATTATTTCATACAAAAATATGAATTACCCAGATATTAGGTTGACACAAGTACTTATGTATCTACAGTGCTCGAATGAAACAGTCAGGTGGTAATAGTTTTAGTAGCCAGTTAAAAGGTCTTATGAGATATTCCAGTACTCGGATACCTGGATATCTTATATATCCAGGAGCTAAAAGTATAACTAGCTCTGCTTCGAACACCTCGAACTTCTTTCGCGGGGCACATGCTCGACGAAACTGTTCCTCGTAACATGGAGGTTCTTCTTTCTGCCCGCCACCATTTTCCTCGAGGATTGACCCTCACCCTTATTTCCGAAGGGTGAGTCGGAAGGACTGTTTTCTTCTCCCTTTTCTTTGCCGGCGACGCGAAGAAGGGTCGCGAAGAATCGAGAATTCTTTCATAGAAAAATGAAGAGGACGAGAGGAAAGTTCTTGTTCTTTGAGGACTCCCGGAAAGTTGTTGCGCTGGGACTTTGATGCTGATTATGCTGTTGCAGGGTGATCCTCTTTTTTGGTATGTGCCCGGTGCCGTGGGGACGAGCTCGTTGTTCTTGGCCCGGAACGCGAGTTTATGGAAACGTGTATTTGAAACTTTGTATGGAAGTTGTGTAGAATGTTTTCTGTATTTTGCTCTGGTCCTATGGGAAGAGACTGATGGAAAAATTTACATGGTTGATTGCAATTAAGGATTTTACCAGCGCCTCGAATTTTGAATATTTTAATTTAGATTAGGAGATGTAAAGGTTTGTTTAAATTGATCGTAGGTACTTGAAATTAATCTCGATAAACACACTCGTCAACTGGCAGTACTGAAGATCACGATTGTATCACCGTCTTGCACAAAAATTGGCCATGTTACATACATCATTGCAATATTAAACTTTCTAAGATAAACGATTGGTTTACTGAATCGATCGTTTCAGATACGGTGGTAAAAGTAACATTTTGAAATGAACAAACGCGGGTGATAAGATTACCAAAGAAAAAGAGGTGTATACGAGCATCATTGATAAGCCCCCAAAAGTCTTCTACGAACAGTGCAATTCGTGCAGTAGTTTTGTTTGAACATTATACTTTCAACGACAAGGGCCAAGAATTGTTCTACACTAATTTTTCTCGCCAAAAACAATCAAACATGAAAAGTTCTAGTTAAAAAACAAAATAAACTAACTACAAATGGCACATCCATTCTGCCCAAGCTTGCAAATTCAAATTGCTTCGATAACCTACTGTTAAACAAACAAATCTCATTCTACATAATGAAACTGATTTTTCCTTGTAGACTCACCCTTTACCTAGTTATGACGCCAATTATTCAAAAGTATTCAGTATAAAATGGCAAAATATCGAAAGTTAAGAGCAGTCAGGGTTCGCGAAGCCATCTGTAATCAACTGGCGGAGGAAATTGTCCGTTCTTCCGGGGTTTCTCGGGATGCAGCGCGCATCGCGTCGCGCAGCCCCGGAGAAAGGCGTCGGTGTAATTTTCAGCAGATTTGCCGAGCGTAACCGGATTCCGCGACCGCGTGTTTACCAGTCGCCGTCGATATCGAAAGTAAAAGGCGACTCGCCTTGTGCCTGTTCCTATATGCCGCACGCCTCGACCAGTTTATCATGGTCAACCGTTACGAAAGCGGCTCGGCGGCGTCGATTTCGTACGTGCCACACCATTCTTTCGAAACGCCGTTTCGCGGCGCGGATCCTTGCGAAACGCCGACGCGAATTTGCTTCGATACCGTGCCCGGTACACAGATAAATGATACAGCTTCCACGATGCGAACCGGTAAATCGTAATTGGCATCCGGTTAAATCGACTTCATTTAATGTTCCGCTTGGAAGATTAATGTTCAGCTGTGGATCGAAAGTTGTCACGTATTGCGGGGTTCACATGGCTGTTAACTAAATACGAATAATTATTAGAATTTTTTAGAATATTCTGAATGTAGATTTAGAATTGAATGCAGTGAGGTTTTTCTAGTTTTAAAGTAACCGTTCTTCGAATATATTGCCTATTTATGGAACATATATGTATTAAGGGGATTTAATTCACTGCTATTATGAAAATTTGAAATTTACTGAACCAAATAATATTTTGAATGTGAAGAATATTTTAACTTCGTTCGATAGATACTTTCGATCTTGAATAGAACGAAATAATCGAATAAGCACCTGGGGAACGAAGCGGTAAGAGATTCAAATTCCCAATACTTCTAATAGAATTATTAGATCCAATCGTTCTAATATAATTCGCAGGCAAACTAATGATTTAGTCTTACGAGTGACGCGTTAATTTATTTCTGAATCGCTCATTGCGAAATGGAAAAGGAACTTGTATCAATTACTTTAACTCGCAAAGTACTAATATCGAAGTTCGCATTTTATTGTATATTAGTGATTAATTAATTCCATAAACAACGTCGCTCTCGACGTGAACTTCGAACATCCTTGGAAATGTAGAGACTACGTTATTTACGGAAAAAACTCGACATTATCGATTTCATCGATCGTCGTGGATTTCCTGTGTATCGCGACAGTGTAGCCGACGAAAAATAACCGATGAATATTTCATGAAAATGTTTCAGGGACACGAGCTTGAGTACGATGGCGGAAGTGCCCTCGAGATACCACTTCGCGGCTCATATGGGTCAATTGATATCCGGTTTGGAAGGTCAGGGATGCCACAATTTCTTCCCGTCCTGCCCGTTGCCCAGCAGCAGCGTTCTGAACATGATGAAGAAGATCCGGTTGCGCTGAACCGACGCAATATCCCGTAGCCTGACTTTGCGGCACCACGAGAATGATAACGAAGCCTGTGATATCGCTGACTACAACATTTCATCGAACCTCGAAGTCTCGGCGAGCGCTTAGCTCCTTTTCGAGATCATCGGGTCATCTAAGTCTCGCCGAAAAACAGGATCCAGTCTCTATAACATGATCTTTAAGATCGAAGTTTCAACGAAAACACGTTTTTTCGAGATCACGAAATCTTGAACGAAACCATGACAACATTCGCAAGACTTTCGTTTACGTACAAGTTATTCTACTTGCAGACCTCTGTCCATTTAGATTACGAGAGCCACAAGGAGGAGTATTTTTGAAAACGTTGACCTATTATTTTGTATTGTTTTATTCATAAAATACGAAACAACGTACGATGGAAGGGAGAAGGATCGTTGATGTTCGGTACCGATGAACACGATATTTTTGTTACGATTGTTCGACGTAATTGTTAAGGAAGCTGTATGAACGTTGTTGAAATATTTATAAATAATTGCCCGCTCCGGCCGACCGTCACGACGTTTAAGCGTTAGATATTAAACTGACAATATATTCTTGGACGTAATTAGCAGTGTTTGATGAACGTAAGATTGCTATAGATTGTGCCTGAGAGAACTAAATGGTATTTAGCGCTGTTCCATATATTTGCTCGCGTTTTACGAGCAAACATAAATTCATGAGTACTATTTATTGCTCGAAATACGCGTAATTAAACGCGATACAGTTCAAGCTCGATATTCGACTTTATGTTTCTGCGTATTGCAGGTATATTGCACGAGCCGAAGTGAACGATTGTACGTTGTACGTTATACAATTACGCATTTTACGTTTTTCGAAAATAAAGCATCAATAAAAACATGTTCCCGTTGTTTGAGAACCCTATCGCTGGCGAAACAGTCCTCGAAAGCACACGTTTTATTTGGTAACTTTATATTCCATGTATATACCGTTTCACGGTTGATATATAGTTTTATGAGAAACTGGAAAACTTTATTCGCTACAAATAATACGTGAAACTTGCTTAATCTTTATAAAGGATACTGGAAATACGTGAACGTTTAACCTAATTTGATAACATAATTGGCCAGTAACCACACATGCAAGCACTACTCCTGTTAATACAATTATAATTATTCTCATGGGACTTAAAATTGTTTGATCAACACAAACTCAAGTTCTATGAAATATAACTAACCAGACATTTAAATCAACTTCGTTTACTCCTAAAAACTCGTCCTTGAAGACGTTAAAATAACAAAAGACATTTTCTCTTTACCTTATAATTAATTCTTGTGTAATTTCTTCCATCTCCAACCACTTCGTTTTTTCAAAGAACAGAAGATAAAATTCCACACTTACCATTTATCATTAAAGAATTATTCGAAATATATGAAAATTACCTAGTGGAAAATTAAAGCCACACGTGCAAATCTATCAACGAGTTTCTTATAAAGAAAATATGCAGTATTACATTGTCAAAAGAAATACGAGATTCTGCAACTCCTCATAATGAATATTTTTTTCAAAATTTCCTGGTGCTTCGTGCAGTGTAACAATGAAAATTCTCCATCACGATTCTTTTTCTCCATCTCGCCTCATGTAACAGCCCGGAGGTACGCCCTTATTAATTTTCCAGCAATTACGGGTACATTTTCCTCGAGACTCGTTCCTAACAGCCATTCCACTGAAATTTACCGACGCTCGAACTGATTTTCACAAAGTAGCCCTTACTTAGCATCGGCGTGTAATATTTTGCAAGCGTATAACGTTTACAAAGGCCGCCCGGGATAATGGCTCCTTTCGTTCGAGCCCGGTTCTTCTAATTATTTTACCCAGCCACCAGCAAAGGGGGACTAATTTGCGTGACAACAGTTTATCCTTTCCGTCGCCGTTATCGCCGCGCGTTTAATCCGTAGCGATCTCCGTGGACCCGATAGCGACTGCGCTGCTACCACTAACAAATCGTTAGCGTCCCGTTCGTGTTTCTTACACTCTGTTTTCTCTCCGTGTCAGAATTACCCTCCTCATTTAATTACGTAAACATTCTGCACTCTTCAGCTAAAGAAATTTTTCTTATATCTTCTATTGGATGAAAGAAACGATTAAATTTTATTTCACACGAAAGATGCTATTGTCGTATCATATCTTATCATATCACGCATCTACAATGTAGTTTACTACAAAACAAACATCTCAACAAAGTTAAGTATAACAGTAATGTTCTTCGCCTAGCAAAACCATTCATTAAAGTATCAAAATTTTTCTAATTTCTACCGACCTATCCATGAAGACCTAAATATTCACAAATAACCGCAATCTATTCCACAGTAGCATCAAACTGATGCAAACTCTTAAGAATTTTTACATTAAAGTTTTATTGATTTCTGTTTCTGCCGGTTTACCCCTGAAAACCTACATATTCACAAAGAACCGCAATCCACTCCAGAATAGTGCCAAACTCATAAAAACTCTTAAAAGCCCTTAGGAATGAAATTGTAAATAATTAAAATGATTAAAATTCACTTGTGTCCGGGGATATACGAAATCAAATCATATTTCTGCGTGTATCTCGGTCCCGGATCGTCGGCATCCGGCTCCGTTAAAAAACGATTCACCGGCACGAGGGGTTCCGTGCGAAAACAATCCGGACAATTTACAGCGGCGTCGCTACCGAAAAGTTATTATAATAATCTCCGGGCGCCTTTATCGGCTTAAGCGCGATGCCAAGCACTCCCGTCGCGATGTTCGTAACGATCCCGGAACGGGATCGTGCCAAGAGTCCCGGCGCGCAGTTAGGATCCCGGCGATATCCTCGCAAAAATGATCGCGCGGGCTTCGTTTATCGGCGCTTTTCGCGCGCCACTGCCAACTACGCGATCCGAGGAATCGCAATGTGTACCCCGTTGCCGGCTTCCTACTCGAAATCGGATCCCCTGCTGTTCCGCTCGGGCTAGCGTCGCGACGTTACGGCACACTTTGCGAATAATCCACGATTACCGAAAACGAACGCGTCGGGAACCATGGACCCGACTGCATCCGGCCGCTCTGAATATTGCGAAACTTTCACAGGCAATTGACGACACAGGGAATGTCGGGACTGGATTGATGTTTCGTTTTAAACTATTTGTATCGGTGGTTTAGTAACTGCTGATTTTTCGGTGATTATACGGGTGGAAATTGGGAGATTCGAATTATGAATGGAAGATTGCATTGTATTTATGCATTAACACGTCGAATGCCGCACGATTTCACGTTGCAAAATACACAGAATGAAAGAAATATAATATCAAATTATTTCATTGAATCGTTTCGTTATTATTGCATGTTTATCTTGGTTAATGTCACCGCGTTAGGTAGTATTGTTTAGAATACAAAAATGTTTACAAATAATCATCGTTTCATTGACTGGATTATAGTAATTCGATTTGGTCGGGGGCCACCGGTGACTCACATTGATCAATGTGTTTGTTACGAATTTCAGTTGGGTCCAATGGTTTTAAGGTATTTATAAGCTTGTAGTATGTGTATTATTATAGATTAGCACGTTACATTGATTTGACATAGTGCGTTATTATAGTGTGTTATAAATAATTATTGTGTAGCATATTGTGAACTAATTTCAACATTTCAATGAAAAAAATCTAATTACGCGGACACGTGTAAAAAGAATGAGGCCACGAGATTATAAATGTATATCTAGCCATTCGTGACAGATGCAGACCATTGATGCAAGAAGGTAAAAGTGCATCGGCGATATCGATTCCGATCTACGTGAACGGGGCCACGTAAGAAAATTGCGTTCATTGAGCAACGACTCGAGCGAGTTCGCGCGTGATCGGTCTCGTTCATCGTGTCCCGTTGTCACGTAAGAAATCGATTACATTCTTACAGGGTCGCTGCTGCGTGATCGCACTTAAGTGACTGCTGGCACTGTTCTGTGGAACATCGATTACAGAACAGAATCGTTGATAAACATTTTTCAATAATAAAGCTATTTCTATTCCACAGGAACCAGAATTCATCAATGGGAAAAGAAATTCGCAGCGAAAAAGTAAAATTCTAATATGAAACTCTGTATTTACAGGAAGCATGGCGTTTAACGCTAGATACGCTATCGTGTCAGGCCCGTGCCAAAGATTTCAAATAGAATAAAACAAATGTAAATACCACGTAATTCTTTCGAGTCTAAATGACATATTATGTTTATGTTGTTAATCGCAGCGTTTCAGAACAAACGTAAACGTAGAATGAGGGTACAGTATTTTTCTCCAATGAATTACTAAGAATAAAATAGTTTCATCACGCACAGTTGTGAAAGGAATCACAGTGGAATGGGTTAATAAAAATAATCTCTTCAAAAAATTTTTCGAACATCGGTGAGCGATGAAAGATTCTAGAGATGTGTCGATGGCCTTGAAAAGGACGCAGCTGACCAGGAAGAGGGCTCGAAGGACGTCACGTACGAGCCCTGACGGCGCGCTAAATGTCGCAATCCGGCGTTCGCCGTTCGTTTGAATGCGACGCTCGGGAAGGGGCGATCACTTTCTCTTGGCCAGCGCGAACGAGCTCAGCTTGCGTTTGCCCGTAGGAACACTCGGCATCGAGTTTTTACCAAAGAAGCAGCCAGTTGGCACCACGTTTTTGACCGGCGGTACGCGGTGCTGACACGCGATCGGTGGAATCGGATTGGAGCCGCGGCGGGTTCGGTGAGAACTGTGTAGGGAAATCCGGCGAGTGGACCGGGAATCGTCAAGAATTGAAAAGGTTTCGGTGAATGTCTCGGTGAACGGGATCAAGTGTTTCCTTCTGAGGTTCAGACGTGCACGAATAAGAGATAGGGTGTAGAATTTGTTCGTGATTGTTGTAATTATTGAATCGGTGGAAAGTAGAGTGAGTTCCTTTGGTTCATTATAAATATTAACAAATTTTGGTTACAACAATTGTTTATTACTGTTATTCATAGTTTGATGGTGTTTGTTAAGACGAGTAGAATGATGTACTACGCAAGATTATCTCGAGTAGTGGACGGTCAAAAGTTTGTGAATAATAATAATTAATAATGTTTGTTCATTATATCGTAAATAATCTATGATATATTATTACTTTTTCATAGAAGAGGCGCACTACGTAAATGTGTTCTTTGAAGGATCGGTCAAGTACTGATACTGATAGTTTTGAGATTGACATTTTATTTGAAATTGGAATTAACATATTAAGGTTTGAAAGGGTATGACTTTACATAGAAAAATAAGTTGAAAGTATGCAACAGAACTTTTCCTCGAGAAATTTTATTTTCAAGTTAATTAACTTCGATGGTTGTGTAATACGTATTGGTATTTACAGGAAGTAGAAACGATAAGCCATAAACAGACACGTCAGCTAGTTCCTGTTGAATGGCACGTGTACTCGAGAAATGTTTAATCGTGATTATATCGACACACAAGGCATGATATAAAAAGAATTTTATTCACTTCTTCTTTTTTATTCTCATCTTCAACTTATTTTTTCATGTATTATTTAGTTAAAACATTATTATTCATTTTAAAGAAATACCTTTTGTATCAGTAATTAACTTCTGCATTCTTGGGTCTGTAAAATAACATTAACATCTTCATTACCAGATTGTCAACAAAATCGACTAAACTACTTTGTCTTTTATCCATCAATTTGACAAAGTTCACTTTTACAAATGATGCGAAAACTTCTTTCATACATAAATAAATGCAATGTTCTCCATACTATTACGTAAGGAATATAATAGGAAAAGTTATTGGGAAGATACGTGGTTGATTTTGTAGATAGTATTTCACAATGCGACTGTCTCGCGTGTTTCTCTTCCTGGGATGTTACTTCCTGGCACTTTCTTTCATTGCCGCGGCGCCCAGTCCGGAGGAACCGGCGTTCGAGCTTCCGGTACAGCTGGTTGGCTTCCCGGTGATCATTGCTGCTGTGAGGATCACTAATTTCGTGAAGAAATTAGCATATTCGCTTAATCCTGGTAAGAATTATACAAGGAAATTTCGTACTAATTCGATCTCAATTTTATTCGTATCAATCAAAGTTTTACTATTAAATAAATTATTATTATTATTCGAACTGTATAGAATATGCTTCCTTTCGAAATGAGGCAAAATATTTATTTGTTTGTTTATATTACCGTTGTATTTATATGGTCATAAATGTTTAACGAAGTTCATTGTTCCAATTTCCAATGAGATACAGTGGAAAGGATAATCGATCGAACAAGTTCAATGTTTCGAAAGTCGCGCAAGTATCGTAAAGACAAAAAGGAATCGGGAACTCCGGTGTATAGGTTTAACCCGGCTTCCTCGTGATTTCGCGCGTGAGTCGAATCGGCCAACAGCGAAAGCGAAAGTGTTCCACTTGTTGCGACTTCTCTGTCTAAGCGACGGAGTCCCGTGTAACGCAGGCGTAACTCGCTGTTTCCTGAATACAAACTGATCATGTCAAGTTGATTCATCGATTCAGACGTTCGGTCGTAACATATCGATTGGCCGATATCACGATATCTATATCACCCGATGATATATCCATTCAGAATGTCATATTATATTCAAATTACACGTTTAAGAAGGAAGACTACTAATAGTGTTGGTCAGAAAACCTTTTTCAATCCTTTTCAAAAAAGTTCAAAGGCTAATGTCACTTTGTTAAATTGAACTTTGGGAAATTATCTATATTTGGCGGTCTTATTTGATAATTTTCGAGCATATTCTAATACATCCAACAAGTAGGAAAAAAATAAAATTAATAAGTTTATAGGCAAGGCCATCTTTAAAATGTTTCTAGTTTGACGAGTTGAAAGATTGATTGATGTCGATAGAAGGCTAAAGTAATCATCGTGTAATTATGCGCAAACATTCGATTCGTTTGAAATTAAGGAGCGAGAGATCGAAACTTAATAAATCATATCTGGACCGACGCAAATGGAATTGAATCGAGTACGTCGGTTTTCATTAAAACGAAAGTTTGGAGTCGTTGACTCTCGTTTAAACAGTTTTGAGCGATTGGATTGGGGACTGTCAGCCGGATTGATGACAGAAATCAAGCACAGCAAAAGTGCAGATTGAAACCTGCATAATGCATTAACGTGACGGACTGCTGTCATTGGATGACTTGAATATACGCGGTGGGGTTCATTTCGCTGGTCAAAGTCATTTAGGGTGGAACCAGAATATAGATTAAACGTCGAGGGATACGGAGAAAGGATTTATCTATTATTAAAACAGTTTGATATCGATTAAAAAACGATATTATCCTTTTTGTTCTATTTAAATCTTCCACGATGACTGATTGGAAAAATTCTTTTAATCTTTCTAAAATTTCGTTTGAAATTAAAAAGGCTGATATAACAATAAAATAACAATATACTTCATGCAATTAGGTTACTCGACTAATTAGAAATTCAAAGGTACCTTCAAAAATAAAAATCAATTTTAGTAGAAGAAAATTAATACAACCATACGTATGCAACTGAAATAGCTACACAAATAAGGTTAAAACAAATTTCAATGTTTTAAGTAATTTTTAAACATGAATACCTATTTGTATTGTTCTACTCTATTATCTAGATCCTAATATCTATAATAAACTCTCTAAAGTAAAAATAGTTAACTGGTGAGGTCTAGGTCGATTTACAGTTACGGGACACGTGAAAAGTATACCTCGTGGAATCAGCATGAATCGTGAATCCATGTTCTGAGAAGCTGTTTAGTAATGCATTACCAATCGATCCTTTCGTTTTCAGGGACTTACGCAAGTCGAGCGAAGCGAGAACTGCCACTGATTCACGACGAAGAAATCTTAGACGCTAATCAGGTCGAGAAGAAATTGGTGGCTGAACTTGGGGACAATGTCTGCATCTATGAGAGAATTTGTGCCAAATATGCGACTCAGACACTGCGAAAACGAAGTCGGGCGCATGATCTTGATTGGAACGTTGTCTTCAGGTAGTATCGATGCATCATGGCACTTAGTAATTAATAGCGATGCCATTCTCTCTCGAAACACTCCTCGAAGCCACTTCATTTCTTTGATGCCTTCAGAAAGCGAAAATAAGGAAATGGTTGGAAGCGATAGACACATCTGAGTACATTACAGTTCTTAAAAATTGAACAGTTTCGGTATCTTATCGAACGAATAGTTCTTTCAGTTAGAAGAAAGTATAAATGGTAATATACTAGACAAGACTAGGTTAAACGTTACAAATTACTATGAACAAGCATCCATTTGTTGCTTTCTACTAAAACTGCGTTTAGGTAGTTAGAGAGTGACTTCCTCAGATGGCAGTAAAAATAATCTAAACCAGTAGATTATACTTCTTAATATCATCATAGGGAAACAAATTGTTTAAACGAAATAGATTGAAAAGTGACATAAAGTCAAAACTTGAAGCCCGTCTTAACTAGGCGGAAATAATCACTTAACTGTCATCATTGAATATCATAATACCCAAGTGTTAACATACATCAAGTAATCTACAGAATCCGATATCATGACGTTCCTAGTACCTCTAACACATTCTACCTTGTGACAATGAAACCGTTACAATTTTACGTAACGAGGTTCTCTACCGGAGATTCGATAGATTCCCATCGATGCTTAATCGAAACGTCACATTCGACGTTGTCGATTCCAATCTTCGACGTTTACATTTCGTTTGTTTCTCAATCAAATCGTTGGAACATCCATAAAGCATCCGTCCGTTTGATCCCCACACGCTTGAGCATGCAGGTCGACTTCGGTAAATCGATTATAGGAGCGCATCTGTTAAACAAGTGTCGCAAATAACAACGGTCCCGTTGGCGTTACACTCGACACCGTTGCATTTCGTGAACGCGCGTACATCTCGGTCGACGAGTTGCGTAACCGCGACCCTGAAGTTCACGGACCGGGTTCCGGGCGACACGGGGGGACTGGTTTTCCACCTTCAGGATAGGAAGCTGAATAATGGGTGGCATTCGCACATCGTGGAAAACTACTGACCCATTTGCTCGCCTAGCCGTGAATCACCTGGACACACCCCCTTCACCGATCACTCCTATCTGTGCCCTGATTTTTCTTTTGACACTATGATTCGCTTTGATTACGCTAATCGCCGTAGACGTGTGATTAATCCTCTTTCCGCCCGAGGGAAACATTTCTCCCGCGGCAGGAGAATAATAGTATTTCAGCGAAGTGCGCGGTAACGTATTATTTACCCGCTAAATGGTGCGTGAAGGTGTTCAATTCGTAATGACTCCCTTTTTCAGATGTTTAATGAGTGTGAAATGCCATTCCGCATGGTGTATGGAATTGGTAACTACAGTTTGAGGAAATGTGTACAGTTATATGAAGGAATCGCTGTTTACACGTGTAACCTAAATTTGTTAGCAATAGTAGCTCGTAATAACTAGACTAAAACTGTAATAACTAATAATAACATTCGTGGCGGATGAAATTATTTTGCACGTGATCAGAATTGAATTTGTCTCGTATGTATATTTTATTTAGAGACCCGGTAATGGTACATTTGTCTTCAAGTTGTATTTATTCTAATTCTAGATTTCTCTCCTAACTAATTATTAATTATCCTTCACCCAATAACACTAACATTTCACAGATACTCCAATGCTCATTTATCTATTTCGTTTTGCACAGTTAGACCGGTAAAGCATCCCACTTTACAAGACTCGGTCAACTAGAAATCATTTTCCACCCGCTAATTTCTAAAATACTGAAAACTCGCGCCACTATCGACCGCATTGTCCTTTCTATCGTTCTAACGGGTCTTGCGAGCAACTCGAGACGCTCGAACCCCTCAGCCATGCTCCGTTAAACTTTTACGAGCGGTTTTCTGCCAGTGGCAACCTCCAATTCATCCTCTCCCGGCCCTCGTTATCCTTTTCCCGTAGCCCGTAACGCCACTCGATCAGCGCGCGGGCGCAGGTGACGGAATCGCTTAGCCGACGTGAATTCCGGCGTCGATGACGCGCACGCCGGCCATCCACAGGCAAACAGCGCCGTCGAATCGCTGATAAGCCGTTCGAACGCTATAGCGCGAGTAGATAGCTCGCGACGCTCGTAAAACGGGCGGAGGCGCGAGGACGGAGACCGCGGCCAGGGACAAACGGTGGAACAGAGTTATCAGGATGCATTAGGACGGTCGTGGAGGCCGCCATTAAAGGCTATCTGCTCCTGGCGTTACTCGCAACTGAATTTAGTGGAAGCCTGCGAAGGGAACGGGCTAGAGAGACCGGTAGCACGGATTTCTATTAGCTCCTCTATTGGAAGAAAGTGCCAGCAGCCCATTAGAAGGCCGGCCACCTTCGCCGCCAGTCCCTTTTAACGATTTATCAGGGCGATCGTTCCACACGAATTATTGGGGAATCCCTGGAATTCAGTCGGGACTCTGGAACTACCGAGTACGTCCGGAGGACGAATTTCTTCGTTTTACAGTTTTCCTCCGATTCTTGGACGTTACCAATCGTAGCGAATTTCGCGTTGTCACTGTCCTTTTCTTACAAATAGAAAGAATTCGCTGATACTTAACTCTTTGGGGATGAGAATTTTTGGAACTTTTTATAACTTATGGTAGGGAAAATTATATTACACGTCGAAGTCTTGAGTATTAGAGAAAGAGGAAATGCGCTGATCCCTTGTTGTTTAAACAATTCAATTATTCATTGACAACTTTGTACTTTAAATATGAAAGCTAGATGTCATCAAAATGAGGACGTCCTCCAAGGGTTAAATATAATAAACACTGTCACTTTATTTAATCGACACCCAACAACTAACTAACCGACAACAACACATTGTATCCTGCATACTAAAACTGTCACCGAAACGCGAATTTCCAACAGTCTTAAAAGCATAATGATTATGAACGTGAAGTGTAGCCATCATCCCTCGATAACTCATACGCATCACACGTCCTGCGATTGTACGACGGGCATTCAAATTTATACCGCTCGTCTAGGCCTTTAACCCCCGATGATTAGTCACGCTTTCCGGTATCGCGCGCGTGTCTAGTTATGTCGTAAAGCTAACGTGTCCGATTCTTCGTTTTACAGCGAGTACAAATCATCGCCAAATCCGATGAAGGAGAATTATTTATTGAGCGTGTTCCTGGGCGACATTATAGGCAGCCCGAGACTCTGTCATCAGCTGGCGAAGAGAGGAAGAGGCTGCGGCGACGCGGCGCACAAGGATTAACTGTAAACGGCTATTTATGTTGTTCCAAACCGACGAGAGTCCTGTACAGATTGTAAATATCCCGATGACGCGACGTTACGCTCTCCGTTCCCCCTCTTTCAGCGGTTGCTTCCGGTCCCGTCCTTCTACCATTGTTAATCCCCGGGACGAATAAAGCCGGCTCGCGGCGTCCGTGTTTTCTCGCCTCGTTTCGCGTAACGAGGATCCTCGACACTGTGACAAAACCAACCGCAGGTTCAGCGATCCTAGCTCCTGGCCGTACGCACAATTAATTATTACGTTTAAGGCTGTTAACGTTACCTGATTTCAGTCGACTTTAGCTTTGGCTCGTCGGCCAGTCCCATCTGCGCGCCGTCGCCTTCAGCGACAACCTAGCGAGAATTTCGAGAACACTCATTTCTGTGTCGTCCTGCACGGCGAAATGAGGATTGTAACTAGATCTTGTTTAGAGTTTAATAAACGAGCCTTCGAAAATGTTCATCGGATTGTAACGTCTGTATCCTTGTTTCTTATCTTAATGAAGCTTCAGAGCGTGGACGCGCGATTGCGATGGGAACAGGTTTTACAGGAAGAGGAACTTCTGATGTACGGAGTACGTAGTTTTTAGTTACTACAGTCGCCGCGGAAAGTATGTTGACACATCTCAAAAATGGATATTTCCTTTTTTAAATAAAGATCCAGAAATAATCGGATAAGTAAACCTTATATATTTTTTAACATAATATTAATTAACATATTTAACATCACAGATCAAATGAAATATATAACAATTATAGAAAGAATTAAACTATACTTTTTATCTCTTTGCGGAATGTATGTTGACAGCAATAAGAAAACATAATTAACAATAAATTAAATAATAGAAAAAACATAATTAATATGAATTTTGGTGTCCACTATTTTTAATAACTTGTTCAAGTCTTTTCGGCATATTTTCAACAAGTTTATTTATGGTATTTTGGTCAATATTAGATCAAGCTTGTAACACTGCTTGCTTGAATGTTACTTTATTTTTATGACAAGTTTCATTAACATTTCTGTCTACGTTATCCCACAAGTGCCCAATTGGGTTTAAATCAAGGCTTTGTGGGAGCCGTGGTAATAATTGAATGTTATTTTCTGTAAAATATCGCGTTGCTACTTTGTATGTGTGCCCGTGATTGTTATATTGTTGCAAAACATAATTATCCTGAATGTTCATTTTTATTATTGGTTCTTGCAAATTTTGTCGTAAAATATTTACATACCTTTCAACGTCAATATGCTGTCTATAAAATGCAAATTGCCAACACCGCTTGAGAAGAAACAACCCCAAACACGCAGCGAGCCCCCACCACGTTTAACCCTTTTAGTGCCGAACAACGATATATCGTTGCGTACGTGATGGCATCTTACTATTCGCATCGCGGGGGAACTCTGTCCCCAAATAAATGTTAAACAAAATTTATAAATTTATAAACCGTTGAAATCCACAAAAACCCTATGTGAGATGTTTTACGAATTGAGAAAATTGTTTATGTGTTTCACTCTTTGTTACATTCCGCAATTATTGATACCGAGACTGTATATATGCTAGAACGATAACACGGAAATTCGAGACGGGGGATTTGCTATAAATAATTTTGTAGTTACTTTCACAAGTAATTTTAGTACGAATAATTGAAAATGCAGTATTCATGCTTTACATTACGTAGTTTACATCAAACTATGAACAAGCGATAATTATTATTTGCAAATACTGTTTATAAAAGAAAACTGATTTTTCCATTTCTCCTAACGATTTATCTCCTAATTCATTCTTCTTTTATGTCGGAATATGATCCTTTTTGAATTTTGTAAATATTATTCTTATTCTATTTTCTATATACATATTTCCTTTTATCATGAGATCAAGGTTGAAATTTTGATTCTTCGCTAAATGTGGTGTTTTTCCAAAAATCCAAAGGCTTGCTTACAAACTGTTTTGCGAACACTAAACGTTTTCGAGCATTCGTTTTACTTATGCAGGGTAGTTTTCTCGATATTCGCTCGTGCAAGCCTGCTTCTTTTATTCGTGCTCGAATTTGAGTTTCCTGAATCGGTAAATTGAAACCAGATTTTAACTGTTTGGCCGAAATGACACGATTTTTAAACACTTCTCGTAAAATAACGCGATTTTGTCTGGGCGTTGTTTTCCACAGACGTCCAAATTTTGAAAAATTTCCTGCAATTCCATTTTCTTCTAATCTATTTACGATCTTCCTAACACCTCCCGCGAAAATATTAAAACTCGCTGCAATTTTTCTCAAGAAATCTCCTTTCATTCTTCTGTTAAGTATTAGTGATCTTTCTGCAGGAGTGAGTTCTCGTATTTTTGGCACTAAAAAACAGTGTTTTACGTACAGATATAAAACACTGTGTAGAATCCTGTTCCATATAGAAAATTCGACGAGTAAATTGTAAATTAACATTTATTGGATAAATATTTTGTAAGAAAATACTAGTCAAGATATGTGTCAACTTATATTCCGCATGAGTTTCTTATGTAGACTTATACACGTCTGCCTTTCACAATTGTTTGATTCAGAAAATGTAAACAGATTGTTTTTCATGGCAAAATACATATTTTTGAGGTGTGTCGACACACTTTCCGCAACGACTATACGTTAGAATGTGAGTTTTCATGATCGAGGCAAAAATAGAATTTATGAGATGAATTCTTTTTGCGGTTTTTGCGTGTGGCATTTAAGAGGTGAGAATGTGTTTTATAATCTGATATTCTTTGTTGAATTTTTTGAGTATGAGAACATTTTGTTATGAAACGAACTGTTACCGTTATAGAGATATTATTGAACGGGTACGTTCTTGAAGTTTGCTAGCATGTAAATTTTATAGGAAAAAGTAATAATGTTCTATGGGAAATTGATTTATCTAAAAAATAGTGAATTCAAATCGTACCAACCATAGCTTTGTATCAACCTACGCTATTCTCTCTTCTCAAAGGTTGAATTGACATCACCGTTTTAAGAAAAAAGAAAGTATTGAGTATTCGTTGGTAAATATAAAATATATCCAGTCTATAATACAAACTCAAAGGAAGCTTTAAATGAGCATAGATTTCACTGGTAGACCTAATTAATGTTCATTTTAATTCAAAATAAATTCCAATGATTCCAAATAACATCAAACAGTTGACTTCATACAAATAATACAAGCTTCACAAAACTGTCAAGTTAATTCCGTACAACAGTAACCTTAAAGTAGCACGACTGAAACTTCGTAAAGGTACTTACTATAAGGTTTACTTCACAATAGCTAGTACAAAAGCAATGTTCGTGTCTTTCACAAATCGTCACCGATAAATAAAACATTTTTCATAGAATACACTGCATGTTTCGAAACGTCTTCGAAGCACACGGATACGAACGGCTCGTATCTCGACACGCGCGCGAAAAGCGGGCACGCAACGCCGTGAAGTGAGAGTAGCTCACGATGACGTTTCTGCCTACCTACGCCTCTTCGGCCGACTTTGTGTACGAAGAGAGGTCCCGAAGAAAGTTCCAGTTGCCCGTGGAACTGTGACACGATCATCCGCGAAGCGAGTCACTCGTGCGATTCGTTTAAAACCGTGAAAATCGCGTTCGAAAACGTCGCGTTTACTTAACATACAAAATCAAATACAACGATACTGTGTCATATAATTGTAATAAAATATCTTCTGCGTTAGATTCACTACTCGTTTCCTTTCTGCCACGTTAATTTCACTACGAACACGTTCGCGACGCGAATTCGAGTTTAGCCTGACTCGATTCGTTTAAAACAGTGAAAACCTTACCGGAAAACTTCTACTTTACTCGAAATACAAAATCGAATGCAACGATTTCGTGTCATATAATTGTAATAACATATCTTCTCCGTCGATTTCATTAATCATTTCCTTTCTGTCACGTTAATTTCGTCACGAATACATTCGCCACGCGAAGTCGAGCTTATCCCGACAGATTTCTCGTCGAGTCGTAGACGGGAATAGCTTCCGTTGAAATTGATACGTTAAATCGGTGGCAACATGTTACGGTGAACCCGAAACGAGATCCTTAAAGGAACGTGATCGAGGATTCGAGGAGTAGTAAAACCGAGAAACAAGGGTTGGAATAGAAGCGGCGGAAGATTGACGTTCAATTTCGTCGGTCGGAACGGAGGAGTCACGCGATGATATTCCACTTCGCCCTTATTTGTTTCTTCGTTCGCTTTGACGCTCGCGCCGAGGATCGGCATCAAAGGTCTGCACAGGAAATTGATGGCGCTCGTTACTGCGACTTCGATGGCACTCAAAGCAACTACAACGCGTCTGATCTGATACGGTGAGTAGAAAAACCGTACCCGTTGTTATTATTTCCGTCGTTGTTGTGATCATCGACGGAGTGAGGCGAACCGTTGGATAACTCACTGTGGAGGATGTGGCGTCGCGTAGGTGTCTTGATCAGTTGGCCGGCAATCTCGCTGATCGAGAAAGCGGCAGACAGACCGGTGGAAAGAGTCAGTGGAACGGGTCAACGGGCAGGCAGATCTCATTCGCTGAGATCCTCGCGAATCTGTTCGACCAGGACCAATTCCGGGTATGTTAGAGACCAAAAGTTAATTTTTAGCATTCCAGCTTTGTTAAATGAATTGCAGTTTATGTTAGAGGCGTATTGGAAACTAAAACCAGGATAAACATTCACGAAAGTGGATTCTTGTAGCTCAAGCTGATAATTGAAGTTTTTATAATTTATAGATTTGTTTTCGTTGATATTGAGTAGTGAATAATTTATTTTGATTAGAACAGAGTAACTTTGAAAATAAAATGTTTTATTTGAAATGGAATAATTACTTAATGTTTTTATGAAGATTCACAGTTATTATTCATTATATATTATTTTCATTATTATTCATCATATAGTAGTTATATATTATTACTACGAATGCATTATTAATAGTTTTAATGACTTCGAAACTGTTCACCAAGCAAAAAAGATGAAAATTCATGAGAACAAGGTCGAGATATACGACGGCATCTCCCGCACAAAGTTTCCGGGAACTTTTCTACTTATAGCCACATCAGACTACCTCCTTTCCGGCGGATACGGCGTCTGGCTACTACCAATCGAATTATCCGACGGTATCAGGTGGAACGTTCGATCTTCCGGCGGGATTTCGGCTGAATCTCTTCGATGCCCTGTCCACGATATCCCGCCGCGACGATTACAAGTGTGTACCCAGAATACTCTGCGAAATGGCGAGCGGGAAACTTCCCGGGCGATCGTTAGGGAAACAAACCTCGAATTTCTTCGACTTCGGCAGGAACGCTTTCATGGAGTACGTTCTCGACTTCGATCTAACCGACCATCGAGTATTTTTTCGGTCCTCGATGATCGTGGAGCAGCTCGGATTCAATTCTGCGCGGTTCCTGTTTTCAGATGGCTGACCAAAGTTGACGTCACAAGCTATTCTCCTCTGCTGAACTTCGGCAGAGCGATGATCCTCGGTTACAGCAACAGAGGGAACTCCGTCGCTTGTTACAGCGCATTCCCTAAATGTCCCAGGGACGCCGGTCAATTGGTTCATTACTTGAATAATTACAACGGAGGTTTCTTTCGGCTATTCAACAAAATACACATCGGAAAACGCAGACGGATTAATCGTGTTCGCGACCAGAGACGTAAGTCAACCTTGGACTCCATACAAATAAAATATCAGGTTGTTCGGTAAGTAGGATGAATGTACTGGTTGTTGCAGCGGTTTTGAACAACTTTCTGATATTTGAACGGTGTTTCTTTCTTTCAATTTTGGCAATGTTATAATGACGGTATAGAGTCGTTCAAAATAGATTACATCGAAGAACAAAGACAATAGGCTTGTGATACATTGTGATAAATTTAATCTTCGTTTCTGTCGCAGGTGATCATTCAAAAAGTGAAACCGAGGGAAGAATAATAACTGGTTCGTTGATAGAACCCGAATCACCTGAAGCATTCGGAAGTATAATTCAATTTCCGTTTTATAAGGATTTCCGGAGTAATAATGAGATCGTTTTTCCGAATGAAAATCATCTAAATTCTGAAACTACAGCGAATGATATCGTGAATTATATACCAGTGTCGGAAGAGAATATTCAGCAAGAAGATTATGTTCCATTTTTCCCACAGGTAATTACATGAAACAAAAATCTTTGTCACTGTTTAATAATGATGTTTGTTTTTTAGGTTTCGTATGGTACAAGATATTCTCGGTTACGATTCCCTTGAAGCATTGACAAATTAAAATTTCACAATAGATTGTTAGTAGATGAATCTAAACAGACAATATTCCCAAATCGTTCCAAAGCTGTTGAATATTAATAGTTAAACAAGTTGCGCGAATATTATCTATTCTTGCGTCCCAAATAATAGATTTGCGGACTAAACAGACAATCCTTGACGAGCGCAGTACATTAATAAGTTAAGAATAAAATTCAAGCATAATTAATATTTATAAAAGTTCTCGTTGCGCAGAGTGTTACATGTTTGTATATACTTTCTGTTCCTGTATCAATACGACGTAGAACGCGGAAAAACCAGATAATTGTTGTAGATTCCTACTAATATAATAATAGTAATATAATATTCTAATAATATATTACTAATAAATATATGCTATAGATTTGTTCAAATAAAATAACATTCTAATATAGCAATTATAATATTTACATTATAATAGTCATTACATATTATAAGTCAATACTTACAACATTATAATAGTTATACTTCAATAGTTACAATACTACAATTAAAATATAAAATTATGATTTCAAACTGTACATTTCGTAACATTTTTCACTATCATACAAAGAATGGCACGTGTAAAAGCAATCGCCTCGCGCTGTACATTTAGTGGCGAAGCAATTCCATAAAATTTCAAATGGTTGCTCTAGTGTTAACGAACAACCGGTAACCAACGATTATCATGGGGAACACGTTCGCATCCGCGGTGTGTCGTCTTTTCAGCCGACATCGTTTATTTCGTCAGGGCATCTCCCATCAGGGATTCTCTATCCACCTGTATCAGGCCGTGTTCATAAACAGGAAGTCCCGAGTCGCCGTTCAGCGCGATGTTACTGGCGCAAATGCCATTTGTGGAAACAGCATGGGGCGCCGTTCGAGCACCGACAAGTTGTCCAATGAATCTGCTCACGGGCATGAGCCACCGCTTTATGTCTCAGTTACCAGCGACGGTAAATTGTATTTTATCCCAGTTCGATTTCCTGCTTAGATACTGCTGCGAAGTAACAACGACCGAGACTGAGCGAAGAAAATGGTCGAAATGGGAACCGTTTTCGTTGGACGCGATGCACTCGCGAGGAACTGCGTCAATTTATTCAATGATTTACAATAATTGTGCCCTGCACATCGAACCGCTCGCGTTACTGTGCATTCCGTTTCAGGATTACCGTCCACAGTTGTTATTAGACTGCGGATTTTATGCTTCCCGCTATCCACGAACGTACAAAGTAACAGAATAAACGATTCCATTGAAATTTCATGCAGTTTTTCTAATACACTCGCGATGACAGAACATAAAATGTGTTTTATTTGTGTAAAACGTGTTTTATTTGGATAAAGTTATATAGTCTGGTTGCTGTTACTATTTGTATTGCCCTAATAGTGTTACTTGTGAGTTGTTTACAAAAAAGTTTACTCTTTTGAATTCTTCAATATTCTTTGATCATTTTTAAACTTTCGTGAGGTATTACGTTAATTCATTGTTAGAATCATGATTAATATTCCAAAGAAACGAAACTATACAAAACCCATTCTCTATATTAAGCTTCTTCATATAATGACGGCAACTGTAAGAAATCAACTGTTTTATTAACAAATTGTATTGCTAACTAATGTGTGCGGTGGATATTACCCACGCGAAAAGTAGAAACTTCCTGATTTTGTTCCGAGAGGAATATCGAATTAAACTACTTTCACTATATAATCGTATTGCCTGTCCACGTGACTGAATACGTTTCGAAACCTATTTATGTTGAGGCTGCTATTTAAAATCGGGCACTAACAAATGTTTGATATAATGATAGTCGCACGCAATTTTTTGTAACATACTAATAGGAGGAGCGGTAACGGGTTGCGACCACATTCAACATCGTAACAACCCCCTTTGGACAATCGTTTGTTAAATCAACGGTTTCCAGTAGTCACGCCGTTGTGCATGTCCTTTATTGCACCCTAGTTGTATATCGTTTATTTACGGCCATCACAAAACAGACAGGAGACACATAATAATTAGTAATAACTGCTTGTACCTTCCATGACTTTCATTATATTTGTCCGCATACTTATCAAGGTAGTCGCCATTATTTCTTTAAAGCGAAATGATCCTTATTAATTCATTAACATTTCCAGCATAAATACCACTTCGAAATTATCGTAAACCGTTCCCAAAACGGTAAACAAAATACATTATTGATCAGAACTTCTAAATGTTCTGATGGATTCCACTATATCCTCCTGTAGTTTCTTAATAAATTTAAGCAATATTTTCAATTCAAGGCTTAAAAGTAAATGAGATTTCAGGGATATAAGTGTCACATCCATTTCCGGTTTAATTTGAATTCCATTAAACCAATTAAACTATCAAGTAAACTCTTTGAAAAACCAGGTTTACAGTTACATTAATCAACAATATGAAGTATTAACAATACATTTTAAATAAAACGCAACAAAGTATCCATCAGTGTTAATTAACTAGTATATACATTCCAAAACACTTCAAATGCGATTGGAGAACTGTACCACATCCACGTGCGCACAGCGCAAACGTAGATTAAAATTCGTCTGTGGTAAGCAGAGTTAACCTCGTCATTTAAACAGGCTTAAACTGTTGCTCGCGAATCAGCTCGAACCGAAACGCAGGCTCGAGCAAAGCAGCGTCTCAATGTACTTTCAAGAGAGGAGTGCAATTTTCTATCCGCAGAAGAAATCCATCTCCCTCTGTTCCTCTCCGCCTGACTTGTCGGATCTAAACGTCCGTAGCACTCGTATCCCCGGAACGTTGACCACGAAATTCACTCACACAATGCGGCGCGATGTGAAAACGGAGAAAAAGCGAGCGGGGAGGAACAGAAAAGCTACGGAGGCAACGTGTAATTATTTTATCCTTTCTGGCGTGTAATTCGAGGCGTGCTCGCGTCCGAGAGTTCGGGCGCCGCCGGTATCAAGGGTGGTTAGCGT